AGAAGGTTTAGATTGGAGAGCTAGAGGTGTGTAGGCGGCACAGGAGCCAGGCGACCAGGTGCGGCTGCCCCTTGAGGTTGATGGGGGCGTCTAATGGCTGAGGGCCGAGCGTTCAGTTAAAGGTTGGACGGCCTAGAAGCCAGCGAAGGTGACCGGGAAGAGGCCGTGAGCTTGGGGGGAATCAGGGCAGTGTTGTGTCATGGAAAACAAGATAGCAGGGTTTGCGTTATCGCTTGTTTTAACGAGGATGTTTGAAGAGCAAGATGAGGGTAGGAACAGATTTCTCAGCTGCCTAGAGAATTGCTGAAATTCCCGAGTGGAAGGGATAGCAGCTCAAATGACACAGGAGGGAGAGAATGTGCCACGAGCCTGTTGAGTCAGGGACATGAGACTTCCAAGAGGCTTTTCATTTTTTTTGAGGGGGGGGGGCATTGCTGAGAAAAGAGGGGAGTCGCTAGAGGAGCTCTGAGAACGTGTGGTATCTGATGGCAAGGAATGACCCAGGATCCAGAGAGAAGCTGGTATTGCAGATGGACGCCTTTGAAAAGGAGAGGGAGTGGGTCTGTAGAACATGATAAAATCACCTTTAAAACCATAACCGACCTTAGTACCACTTGGGGAGCTCCAGACAAACGCGTCTGAGGGACCCTGGGTCCCTATCAACTCCCCCGATTATCCTGACGTGTAGCCAGACTTGAAAACCTCTGACCCAAGGGGTAGTGCCACATGCACGTTTAGGGGTGCCTGGAAGATTTCTGTGGCACTGCTGGGTGAGAGGACACTGTGAAGACTTGAGTTTAGATCACCCCTCACCCCAAGCCAGGAGCTTCTTAATGTAGCAAGCAACTGCATACTAAGTATAAATTTCACTTTATATTTACCTAAAACTTACTAAATAGAAATTGCAATTTGGAGGTCTCATATTCTGTGTGCCCTTAGGTAACCTGCTTTTTGTAACTAACTATCTTAGGAAAATTTTTCCCTTTAAAATTCGTACTGGCCACATAATATTGCAAAGTATGATTTACGAGGATGCAATTTAATTCTGCTGCCGAGCACATTTTTCTAATAAGAATGCTCCGTGAATAGCTGGCGTGTAATCTGTTGCACATCTCCGCCTAGTCCCCCTGCTTTAGTTCCTTGAAAGCGAATAATTGGACTCCGAGGCGACATTAAAGAGCTTTCTATAATTCATTGATTTTACTCCTAGAGAAGAAATACATGTTTCTGGCAGGAACATTCAAACGGTCTGGGTGGGAGAAGGGACCCCCCCCCCCCCCTTTCCCGATAGGTAACCAGTTAGCAGTTCCTTGTAGACTTTTCCAGGAGTGTTACCTGCATGGGTGTTCATGCTGAACAAACAAACGAAAACACTTACCAGGTGCTTCACTCGGCATCTCCCTAACCGCGCTAGTCGCGGGCTCTCCTAGTCGGCTCTGCGCGCTCGACCCTGGGGTCTGTCTGCCATTTGCGTTTTCCCGTGAATTGCCAGTTTCCTTCCCTTTCCCCCCATTTTCCTGGTTTGCTTGGGTCTTTATGTGACTGGTCCCCCAAGGTCTCTTCATAGAGGAACACGTGAGCCCCCGCGTGCCGTGGGTCTCGGGCGGAGAAGTCTTGTCTCCGGCTTCCTTGTCTCTCGACTCCAACATACATGTTTTCTCGGATTTACATGTTTAGACAAATATACGTGATCCCCCACAGACACACACACCCGCCTTTTTCTTCCTTCGCAGTTTTGGGTTCGGGAGCCATTAGCGGCGGTCCCGCTGCACCCCCGTTTCTTTGTGTCGGGGTCGCACAGCCCCCCCCCCTTTCCAGACCCCTCTTCGGGGCCCCTCGCTTGGGCTCCGTTGACGTCAACCTCCGGCTCTGGCGCCAAGCAGTAGCCCCAGGCAACTGTGCTCTGATTGGCAGGATGCGGGTGCCCTGGGGGGGGTGGCAGGGTGGTGC